AAAGCTGATATAGCCTTTTGTATGCAAGGCGGCAGCATAGAGGGGGTTAACAATGCCAGGCATCATCCCAGCCTCCACCCTCTCTGTGACAAAGGGTCACAGAGAAGATATTTAACAGCCACGTTGGACGTGCGGGTCCCATCCTCCAACCAGATGCCGTGCTCTCTGCAATCTCCACTCCTGGCTCCTCCAACAACCCCCTACCGGCATTGTCCGCCCCCAAACGGCACCACCCACCCCAAACGGCACCACCCGCCCCAAATGGCATCATCCGCCCCAAACGGCACCACCCGCCCCAAGAAACCCACACGAGCAAAAAACATAACCGTATCAATAAAAACCTTACAGCTGACGTTTAATCTGCTCCCCTCCCCCTCTCATTGACATGCTAATGACATTCTAAAATAAAAAGGTCTGTTTTCGGCACTTTATACCCGGTGATGTAATCACTGGGTCTCCGGTGGGAGGGGCCTGTACATAACTTCCTAAAAACATCACAGCACCTTGCCTCAGTACTGCTCTCAAGAGCCTTCAGTCATGATGCAAGCAGTGGGCCGGCTCTTGGGAGGAGTTATGCAAATATCAAAATGCCTTGGTGGGCGGATATCAGTCTGGAGGAGTGGATGTTCCTAGGCAGGCTGTATTTGCATGAGGACCACCCACATGTGACGCTGTGCCTCCATGATAATCAGGAAGGTGGTCTAGAGCAGGGGTAGCAAACCTCTGGCCCTCCAGCTGTGGTGGAACTACAAATCCCATGAGGCATTGCAAGATTCTCACAGCCACAGACATGACTCCCAAAGAGAGATGCATCATGGGATTTGTAGTTTCACCACAGCTGGAGGGCCGGAGCTTTGCTACCCCTGGTCTAGAGGCTGGATGTGCTCCCACCAGGCTCTGATTGGTTGCAGCTCACAATGTGCATTAGATGCTGCAACCAGAGCCTAGCAGGAGGTACCGGGAGTTCTTCACCTTAACACAGAATGCATTACTGTTAAAAAAAAAAAAAGTCAGGCTTTTAGTAATCCTCTAAGACACTTCGAATGTGTGCGTTACTTAGGGGCGGTCTGCATGCAAATACACTTCCTAGGACCGCCCCCACTCCTCCAGACTGACACCCACCCATCAAGGCATTTTGATATTTGCATAACTCCCCCCAAGAGCCCGCCCACTTCTTGCATCAGTACCGAGTCAGGGTGCTGTGATGCTTCCAGGAAGCTATGCACAGCCCCGCCCCCCAGCAGGCTCCTCCCAACAGCCATC